TCCACCCACCTCAGCCTCCCAAAGTGCTGGGATTACGGGCATGAGCCACTGCGGCTTGCCTGGTGTCTCTTCTTATAAGGACAATAATCTCATCATGAGGGCACCACCCTCATGAACTCATCTCAACCTCCCAAAGGCCCCATCTCCAAATACTATCATACTGGGAGTTAGGTTTTCAACATACGAGTTTTTGAGGGGCATGCAAACATTCAGTACATAATATTCATTCACCATCCTGGGCAACATAGCAAGATGCCCTCCCCCAAACCACCGTCTCTACAAAAATAAAAATTAAAAAATTAGCCAAGGCCAGTGGTGGCTAACACCTGTAATCTCAACACTTTGGGAGGCCGAGGCAGGTGGATCACTTGAGGTCAGGAGTTCAAGACCAGCCCAGCCAACGTGGTGAAACCCTGTCTCTACTGAAAATACAAAAATTAGCCAGGTGCGGTGGCTCATGCCTATAGTCCCAGCTACTCAGGAGGCTGAGGCACAAGATTCGCTCGAACCCAGGGGCAGAGGTTGCAGTGAGCTGAGATTGTGCCACTGCACTCCAGCCTGAGCAACAGAGTGAGACTCTATCTCCAAAAAAAAAAAAAAAATTTAGCCAAGCATGGTGGTGTGTGCCTGTAGTCCCCGCTACTTGGGAGGCTGAAGTTAGAGGATGACTTGAGCCTGGGAGGTGGAGGCTGCAGTGAGCCGAGGTTGCACTATTGCATTCCAGCCTGGGTGGTAGAGTGAGATGCTGTCTCAAAAAAAAAATTTTTTTTTTAATCCATTCAGATTCTCTTCCTTGAAAATATGAATGTTGAGTGAAAACACACAGAGAAAGAAAGAAAGGGGCTGGAGCTGAGTTGGCTGAAAGACACAGGGCCACTAGCTACTGAAGCTGAGGTCCTTTGGTTTCTGTCTTTCTAGGCCGTCTTGTAAACTCATGTTTCAGTTCTGTAAACTATACAACATCCCTCAAATACACCACTTTCTCACTTTTTTCTTCTTTTTGAGACAGGGTCTTGCTCTGTCGTCCAGGCTGGAGTGCAATGGCACAATCAGAGCTCCCTGCAGCCTCAACCTCCTGGGCTGAAGTGATTCTTGCACATCGGCCTCCCAAGTAGCTGAGACTACAGGCATGCACCACCACGCCCAGCTAATTTTTGTATGTTTTGTAGAGATGGGATTTTGCCATGTTGCCCAAGCTGGTCTAGAAT